CTCGCCGCAAGAGTCAGGCTCCCGTGCAAAGCGCATCACTTCAACGTGTCACCCTGGCGCGTGTCTCTGAAGGGGTCAGATGGGATCCTTGTGGATCCGTGGCCTCACGGGGAGCGCGTGCTCTCCCTGCACGCTGTTCTCCCAGCCCTGGCAGGACGCTGGCGGATCTGGTGCGCCATCGGATCAGGTGTGCCGTATGAGGGGGGGGAGAAAAAGGGTCCTAGAACCCGGAGAAGCGCGGTGGGGGAGAATCAAAGGGAGCCTCTTCTCTGGGCACACAGTAGCTGCTGCTCTTCGGATCTGGCCCCGTCCTGGCGCCTTCTCCCCAGGTGATGCTGGAAGCGTTGAACGCCTGCTTCTTTTTAAGGAAAAAGCTGTGGGTTTGGTGGAGTGCTTTCCCCTCGTGAAGGTTGTCGGGCAGGTGTCTGGAGCGCAGAGGCAGAGGGGGAGCGAGCTGGGACCACTGCGGGCCCTCATCTGGGCAGCAGGTTGGGGTTTTGAGTCTTCCGAACGCTGCTGAAGCCGCCCTCGGTGCGTCTGCGGCATGTGCCGTGTGCCGGAGTCCTCCTCCGTGCTCTGTCAGCCCTCTGGCTTGGGGAGGACGGTGGAGGGTGATGCTCTCCTCCAGAGGAAGGGTTGTGGTTGCAAACGCTTCCCTTGTGCAACATCAAAATGCATGAACCTACGCTGTTCCCCGCTGCGTCCCTTTCCTTGTGTGAAGCTAATTAAGGTAACGCTGCTGTTTGGGACCTCCTTATCACTGAGGGCATATTAGCAGTGCCTAGATAAGAGCTTGTTTAACTTGCCTGCGAGACGGAGCAGATTGGCTTTAAAAATGGAGGCGGCTGGTTAATGAACGGGAAGGGAATTCCCTGAAGAGCATCCCAGTGCTGAGAAACGTCCCGCGACTGTAGCTCTGCTCCGGGTTTCCCCTGTTTGGGACCAGAGTCCTATTTCCTTAACGGTGTCCAGAATGAAACTGGAAGAGTGCGCTCATAGCAAAGAAACTCGTTAACGTGGGGTGCTCCTAAAGAGACATAATGCTGCTTCTCCCCGGGGATCTGCCCCACGGTTGGTGCCTGACGGCTGCCAGGGGCTGTGTCCGGACACAAACCACCGTTTGGGACCTCTGTGTGTCTGGGAAAGCAGCCGTGAACCTGAATCCAAAGCTCCGGGGCTTTGGCTGCAACGTGAGGCTCAATTCTGCAGCAGGCTGGCAATCCAGCAGTAGCGTCAAGCACATCTGGAAGGTGATGAGGCTCTTGTTGACGAAAACAGCTGCTGCGGTCAGCACGGTATTGCTGTGGCATCTGTCTGGTGGTGGGTTGGTGCGTGTCGGGGACCCTCCTGCACGCAGGAGATGATGCAGGTGAACGCTGTGATGGCTGCGTTGGGGCTCAGGGTCTCCCGTAAAGCATTTGGGTGTTTTTCCTCTCCTTTTGGAGTATAAAGGCGCCTTGAACCCGTGCTGATCCTGCTGCTGTCGGATGGAGGTAGTAGCTGGGGGACATCCCCCAGCTCCAAGGATCGGCCGTGATGTATTTAACTGTTCGTACCAGTTTCTCATTCTAGCTCAAACTCTCCTTACTCAGTCTTGCGCTGCCTGTGGGTCCGGGAAGGCAGAGTTGCACCAGTTTGGATTTGGAAAGCTTTTCTCCCCGCAGTGAGCCTCTTCTCCTCCCTGCAGGTCTACAACGTTTACATGGCGGGCCGCCAGCTCTGCTCGAAGCGGTACCGGGAGTTTGCCATCCTGCACCAGAACCTGAAACGGGAATTTGCCAACTTCACTTTTCCACGTCTCCCAGGAAAGTGGCCGTTCTCTTTGTCGGAGCAGCAGCTGGACAGCCGGCGGCGAGGGCTGGAGGAGTACCTGGAGAAAGGTACTGAGCTGGGAGCTGTGCGCTGCCTCCCTCGCAAGCGGGGAAACAAATCCTCAGGGTACAGCCTTCCGCGGGTGGTCCAGAACTTCACGGGGATTTGTTTACCTGTGAGGGAAAGAAGCTCGTTTGAGGGAGAGAAGCTCGTTTGTAGCTGGATTGGATTTTACGGCTGAAGTGGTGAGAGGGAGCTCAGACTTGCCACGGTTAATGATGCGTGTGTTACCGGCTTGCAGCGCACTTCCGCTAACAAAATGTATAATTAGTTTTTTTTAACGTGCAACGAGCTTTTATTTCTAGTGTCGTATTGCTCGCCAGTAGCCTGGAGGTGAGGGAGTGCAGGGAGGAGGCGGAGGAGGGAAGCCTCGGAGCGGGGAGGCCGTTCTTGTCAGGGGAGCTCGGCTCAGCCCGCAACGACCTGAGCTTGCTCACGGCAGAACGCTTTGGTCCTTTCCAATCAGCACGGTAACGCCGGCAGCAGGAGTTTCCTTTAGTTCAGATGATGGGAAAGTGAACGCAACACCTTATCTCCGTGTCAGGCTGCCTGGCTGAGAGATCGCAGCCGTAGAGGGGATTTGGGGCGCAGCGACCCCTCGTCCCGTGGTGCTGCGTGCGTTCCTTAGTTGCCTGGAGCAGCCCGGTTAGTTTGCAGGAGCTTCCCGGCCTCTTCCCTTACCCGGTGTCTGGGAGCGGAGCCCCTTCTTCCCGTGGGACGGACACGGGTCAGGTTTTCCCCACCCCGCGGGGATCTCAGCCCTGCCTTGCCCAGCTCCTTCGCCGTCTTCCTCGGGTACCAGCTGGCTGGAGGAAGGGGCAGACTGGTTGCATCTTAGAGGCAACATGATACAGTTCGGGTCCAAATTATTTGCTGAACTTGGTCTAAATTCCCAAATAGTTTCAGTCCCTCTGGAATAACTTTTTAACTTTTTTTTTTTTTTTTTTAAAGAGGCAAAAGAACAATTTATGAAATTCTTGCCCGCTTTTAAGTGTAGTCTGTTGGCCGTGTGCCTGGGGCCTGGATTTCACCCGCGGGGAGTATCTCGGGGAGTTACTCAACACGGCTGTTCGCTTGCTATTGTCGGGGATTCAGGCTGGATCAGTCTTCGTGCCAGGACACCTGATACAGCCCGGAAAGCGTTTGCTTTGAGAAGGTTTTTTCCGGGCTGGAGATATCACCTTTGTTTCCCGCTGCCCGCGGCACAGGCAGTTGTTATTTCCAGGTCGCCTTTGGGTGGGCGCTGGGAGGGGAAGTCTCCCCCTTCCCCCGGGCACCCCACTGACCCTGTCGCTCTCTGTCCTGCAGTGTGTTCGATACGTGTCATTGGGGAGAGCGACATCATGCAGGAGTTCCTGTCGGAGTCGGACGAGGTAGGCACGCAGGCGACAGCGCTGAGGCTCCACCGTGACCGTTCCTGGTACAGAGGCCGTAAATGTTTGGTACAACTGGATCGGAGTTCCCTGCCAAAGCCTCTGCTGGTTGAATAGAAAACCACGGCAAAAAATCGCGGCTGCGGTTTGCTGTCTGCCATTGCACGTAGGGAACCTTTTCTCCGTAGCAGCAGCGAAGAGCAGCTTTGCTGCTGCTCTCGGAGGTGTGCACGTACCCTGGCGAGGGCAGACCCAGCAGCAAATGCGTTCGCTGACTTCCCTGCTGTTTTCTGTGCCGGTGGCAGCCCATAGCTTCGCGTTCGTGAGCTGTTTGTGTTTGTCAACCTTCGGCCAGAAAGGCAACAGGCGCTCTGAATACCAGTCTGTCTGCCTGGCTCCTCCTGAGATTTGAGTTGCTGTCTGCCCTTCCACTGTTGTTCCTTTTCCAACCTTTCCACGGGGCGTTAAGTTGCCGTGTCCCAGAGGTTTCTCTCGCTCTCCACTGGCAAACCCGTGGATGGAAAATCCTACCCCGTCGTGGTCTGAAGCGGTTTGCTCAGCTTCCTGTCTCGGAGCAGAGCTCGCATCTTCCTGCTTTTAGAATTTCCCCGGTGCAGACTGGAATGGGGTTCTTGAGGCTTGCAGACCAGCTGGTTGTTAAAATGACCGTTCTAATTAGCCAGCGCGAGGCAATAAATAGTCTATAGAGCTCGGGGCTCAGTTCGTGTGGTGCTCATTTTTGTCCTCTCTTCTTGCCTCCTGCAGAATTACAACGGCGTCTCAGACGTGGAGCTCCGAGTAGCGTTACCAGATATAACAACAGTGACAGTCAGAGTCAAAAAGAACAGCACTACAGACCAGGTGTACCAGGTGAGCTCCTTCTTTTCTTGCCTCCACTGGAAGATTAACGTGTTTCGGTGTTAACCAAGACCCCGTGGGCACCCGCTTGCTCCTCTCGAGTGCAGGTGGGCATCAGTGATGCTGGGTTGCTGTAGCAGAGAGGACCGGGACGCGAGAGAGCTCCAGCCTTACGCCGTGCTGAAGCAGCGTTTTCGCCGGCAGGCTTGGCTGCAAGGACAAGAGTCATCGCTGAATTAATTTTCACTGATAATATCTTAAAGCCGGCGGGTGGCTCTAAGCACTAGACAGATTGTGTGTTGTGGCTTGCAGGGGCTGCGGTGGAGGAGTTGGATCCAAGAGCTGTCTGCGGCCAAGGCAGGAGTCTGGCTGGGACAGCGAGCTGAGTGTTAGGGGGAGTGACCTCTTTGGGGAACCCTCTGGCCAGGAGACGGTCTGCGAGCGGCCGGAGGCCCAGTGCTTTAAGCGCAAAACTAAGGACAACTGACTTCAGCCAGCACTGCGGGAGGAAAAGTGGAAGCTGTGAATGGATTAGGGGCAATAAGATGATGTGGGGGAGATCCCTTTTGAAAGGGGAACTAAAACTGTTGCTGCAAGGGAGGGAGCCCGAGGGTTGCGAAAGAGCTGGCTCTCAGGCGGAGTCCTGCAGATGGGATGTGGGGTACGGTCGCCCCCGCGTTGGGGACACAGCCCGCTGAACTTCACGTCACCTCCACCGACGTCTCTGAGTTTTGACTGTGGTACCAGCGTGCAGGAGCGCAGCGTCGTTGGAGAATGCTCCCGGGGAGGTGTGTGCGCCTCTTCTTTGGGAACTGGAGCTGGAGGCATCATAAGGAAAGACGGCCTAATTGTCAGCCATGGTGGCACGTAAAATCTAGAGCAGTTTACAGGAAGGTGAGAGCAGGGGAGTCTTGCTTAAGAAAACATCTGGCTTTACTGGAAGAGTGAAATTCAGGTTTTCCGTGGTGACTAACACCTCGGGTTAGCGAATACCTGGGAGCAGGCTGGATGAAGGCAGCCTTGCTCCGGAGCGGGACGGACAGCCGCTGCCTCCTGTTCTGCTCACCCCCTTTTCCCCTTCGGTTTCTCTTTAGGCTGTGGCTGCGAAAGTCGGAATGGACAGTATTACCGCAAACTACTTCGCCTTGTTTGAAGTGATCAATCACTCCTTTGGTAAGTCTTTTAATCCCCTCGGTGCTGACGAGCGAGCGACTGAGGAGAAGGCTGCGCAGCGCGAGCAGAGCCCGGCGGCACTCTGCTTTAGGTCTTATCTCTGCAAAATCCGAAGCCCCCGGGGGGAGTCGGGCAAGCACAGCGCGTAATGAGGAGCCCTCCAAGTTTGATGGCTTTTTTTCCCTGCCGCTTGACTTTCCCTTTCTTAAACAGTTCAAGGAGACGAGCTTTTTGTTAAACCAAGAGATGCATTTTACTTTAGTTCAAAGGGTCCAGGGAGCTTAGGAAAAGCGGGCAGCGTCACTGCAACGCAGCCGTCTCTAGAAGGGGAGCACTGGCAGCGGCTTGGGGTGGATTTTTGCCTTTTCCTTTGCTGGAAAGGAAAGAGAATCGAGGGCGCACTCGCCCTGTGCGCACGGAGGTGTGGGGTGATGCCCAGACCCCGGAGGGGATGTGCTGCAAGCTGCACTGTAGCTTTTCTCATCTCTCCTTCCGCGGTTAAATCTTGATGGTATTTGAAGCTTGACTGTGGGATTATGGGCAATCGTTTTGGCACTTAAGTAATTGCCGTCCTTCCAGCTGAGCACGCGCTGGGGTCTCCTGGCTGCTGTTCACATCCCTGGCCGCAGCGGTCTCTGGTTTCACCCGGCTTCACGTCGGGTTCGCTGAAGCTGTAGAGAGGCCAGAATGTCGCGGTCACACCACAAAATGGGTGTAGTGGTTGGGTTGTGTTTTGTTTTTTCCCCTGTGCTGGGTTTTAAGCCAAGCGTAGTTCTCGTTCCCAGCTGGGTACCTTCGTTTCTGGGTTGTCATCTCTGTACGCCTCAAACTCATCCTGTTGTTACGGCAAACTGTGCCTTGTAGGAAAGATTTCCAGGGCTGTTCCTCACACTCGCAGGATTCTGGCTGAACGGCAGGGGCAATTTTTAGCTGCTCAAAACCCTCCTCAAGTGACTCATCTCACAGAACAGGCTGGGTTTGCGTTCAGGTGCTGACCCTGGGGCAGCCACGATCACCCGTCTCCTGTAAAACTGTTGGCATCGCGGACCTGCCTCTGCCAGCGGGTTTGCAGTCCGTTTTTGAGGAGTACCGGGTGCTGCTGTGACCGGCACAGGACACCCACTGGGGCTGTGCGCTTACCTCCGTCTCTCGTGCTTTTTCCAGTGCGCAAACTGGCGCCCAATGAATTCCCCCACAAACTCTACGTGCAAAACTACACCTCGGCCGTGCCGGGAACGTGCCTGACCATCCGAAAATGGCTCTTCACTACAGAGGAGGAGGTTCTTCTCAATGACAATGACCTGGCAGTCACCTACTTCTTCCATCAGGTAGGTGCCCACGAGCTGTGATTTCTTACTGGAGGTAAGGCAACACAAGCACCCGGCTCCCAAAGCGTCCTCTGGCGTGCTGGCAACAGCGTGTGAGGTTGAGGGCCAGCCCCGCTTGGGCGGCTTCAAGGAGTAAAGTCCATGGCCGGGCGCGTCGGCGGTGCTGTGGCGAGCTTGTGGCCGCGTGGCAGTCGGGCTGGGCGGCAGGACTCCGGCCGCTCTCGCTGCGGGAAGGTGCCTTCCCGGGGCACGCGAGAAGGATCCCCCTTGGGTCGGATTCTCTTTTCCTCCGTTCTGCGTGTTGTCAGTGAAGGTGGGGAGCAGACTTCTCCCTGTTCACCTGAAGGAAAGGGGACGTTCCTGCCTGCGATTTCGCTTTATGCAGATTCTCTGGGATGAAGTGAGTCCGAGAAGAGCCACGTTCTCCCATTGCCTGTATAAAGCCGGTCTGGGCTGACCAGCTCAGAGGTAGATATCTGCAAAGTTCAGTCAGATGAATCCTGCTCGCTCTCAACCACCAAAAACGCTGTCCCAGCGCTCTCTGAACTGAGCCTGTACCAGCCTCTGGTACAAACTGAAATAAAACCCGTAGTTGTCAGATTCTTTGATCTCCTAGACTGGATCTTTACTGGCTGGCAGCTTTACAAGCCCCTCTGCGGGGAGCGGGAGCCCTTGCTGGGGTGTGCAGCTGAGGAGTGAAGGGAAGGGGCTGTGTACCTGCTCAGTCCTGAAGGAAAAACACATTTTCCTGCCAAGGCTCCGGCAGCGCAGTGGGTAAAAGCCAGCACCGCTCTGCTGGAGGCGGCTGTGGCTGTGCGTGGAGTGGAAGGGTCGTGCCAGCCTGTCCTTGCCTGTGCCTGAAGGCAAAAGCAGGATTCCGGGTACCGGCTTTTCCAGATCCATCCTTTTTTGCCAGGGGACGTTCTTCCAGAGTCCGCCCAGATGCTGTGGCATCTGTATGCTCCCCCGGGGCAGTCAGCGGCTCGTGGCAGGAGTCAGTGAGTGCGAAGAACCACCTCTCTGAGCCTCTCCGTCCCTCTGCCTCTCTGGGGACGTCGGTCGCCTTCTGGGGCTGTGAATTTGGGCGGCTGTTCAAAGCAGCCTCAGGGCCCGCCAGGGAAAGCAAAGCGTTGTGACTCAGAGTCCTCTAGTCTGACCCCCTGGGTTTCCTTTCCCTGTTCCTGTTTAGGCTGTTGATGATGTCAAGAAAGGCTACATCAAAGCAGAGGAGAAGTCCTACCAGTTACAGAAGCTGTGTGAGCAGAGAAAGATGGTCATGGTGAGTTATCCTGCCTGTCCTCTTTGCAGCGCTGTCTGGAAAGGAGACACTGGCCCAGGTTGCCCCGAGAAGCTGTGGCTGCCCCATCCCTGGAGGTGGTCAAGGCCAGGTTGGACGGGGCTCAGGGCAACCTGGGCTGGGGGGAGGTGGCCCTGCCCAGGGCAGTGGGGGGAACGAGATGATCTTCAAAGGCTCCTTCCAACCCAAACCGTTCTATGCGCAGAGCCTGGAAAAACACATCTTTCCTGGAAAGCGATAACCCTGGAGAGCTGTGGGGGTGTGGGCTTAGCGCAGGAGGGGTTGGCCGGGCGTGCAGACGCGCAGGGGCTGGGCCCTGCCCGGGGGGAGGCTGCTGCACGAACCAAAACCGCCGCTCGGGCCCGCCGCGTTCCCGCCGCAGCTTGTCCTTGGCAGCATCACCCGTTGACTCGGCTCCAAACAGGGCAGCGATAAAACCTTGCGGGTTACTGCTGGTGTTGAAAGGTGAGGTGCTTAACGTGGTGCGTAGCAATCCTTCACCTGCAGCGCTTCGGGGACGGCTCCTTCCTGGTAATCGAGAGGGAAAGGTCTCTCTCTGCCTCAGACTGTGTCTGGGACGGCGGTGCTGGGCTGGCCGGGGGAGCGGTGGGTCCCGGCCAGCGCGTAGTGCGCGTTGCTGCCCCCTCGGTGCTTCGGTTTCTTTTTCTTTTGTCCAGCAGAAGTCTTCCCAAATCTCAAATCCTGTGTCAGAGCTCGCTGTCCGGTCAGGGATTTTCTCCCTCTTATCCCTTTGCCCAGCGAAACGCCTGGGGCTTGGGGCGGCTGGAGGAGCCCGCCTGGCATGGAGGTGGGGGGCGAAGGGGATGGCCTGAGCTCGGCTGGGAGATCAAACAGCAGAAGAATCTGACTTGTAAATAACTTCCTGCGCTGCTCGGGGTCCGTGTGAAGGCAGGCTGCCCTCTGCCTGGCTCCCTGCGCCCTGCCTGCCTTCTCCAGGGCAGCTCTCCAAGAGCACTGGCCTTGGGATCTCCTCCTCCGGCTTGGCTGCTCTTGGTCGGGGCTCAGACCTTCCCCAGAGCTGGTCTGGCTGCGGTAGCTCCGAGGGGTCCCTGCTGGGGGACTGTCTCCAGGTTGAGCCTGGAGGCGTCACCTGGAATGCTAAACCAAGGAGGTTAACCATTAACTAATGTTCAGGATTAGTAAACAGACACTTCCTCCTGTGGGTTATCTCATGGCTGTTTTGTTTCTGCTCCTCTCGGTGGCTTTCTAAGGACCAAAGAAAGATCTGAATCTTTGGAAAGGGTATATCCCACCATATATAGACACACCCCGACATGCAGTAGGGCCCCGGTGTAGCAGGAGGACAAGAAGACAATGTCTGTGTCCCGGAGAGCCTGTGAAGTCAAAGCACTTCATCCTCTACCTCCCCCCATGTAATTAAGGGTCCTGCCTGGACCAGTGCTTGAGGATTTGGCCCCTTCCCCCGGTCTAGATGCGGCTTTTTCCTTGGTTAAAAAGTCACTTCAGACTTTGTTGTAGTTCTGTCCTGCATAACCCTTCCTCGTGCAGCGCGGGGTCGCGGGGCTCTGGAGCACCAGCCCCTGGAGAAGCTCCGGGCTTCTGCCACATCCCGAGCTGTGACCCTGAGCTCCCGACACTGCTCCGGTGCCCTCACGGTGCTGCTTTGTCCGTGCTACGCTCGGGGGGGAAAAAAAGAAATGGCCAAAATACCTCTTTGGGCCTTTTCATGAGTTGTAGCGTTTGCATCGAAGGACTCTGTGAAAGGCGGATCCCGCGTCTGCCCGACAGCTTCTTCTGGTCTCACCTTCAGCCTGTAGTGGTCCGGGGGTGGCTCTGGCCACAGCGGTGATTTCGGTCCCGGGACTGCTTTAGCTCTTCGCTCAGGTCCGTACCCCTCCCGGGGGAGCACGGTCGCGCTGGTCGGCGACTCCGGCTGCGCCAACGCTCCTGGAAGGGGCTTTTGGCATCCGAGGCTGTGAGGACCTCTGTGTTTATCCGTACCTGGATGGATCCGGGGGTTGGGGAGGGGAAGTGAGGGGCCGGAGGGGTCTCCTCCCTCCCCCTGGCACAGCCCCGCTGCCTGCGGCGGTTCGGTTTCCTTCGGAGGGATGCAGCCTCTGGGCCGGGCTGAAGGCAGGGACTTCCCCGGGGGCGGTGTGGGGAGCAGTGGACGCAGGGCTCCCCTTCCTCCGAGCAAGCTAACACCAGCGGCTTTCTCTCCGCAGTATTTAAACATGTTGCGGACGTGCGAGGGTTACAACGAGATCATCTTCCCCCATTGCTCCTGTGACTCTCGGCGGAAGGGACATGTGATCACAGCCATCAGCATTAAGCACTTTAAACTCCACGCCTGCACAGAGGAGGGGCAGCTGGAGGTAAGGGGGGCTCAGCCCCTGCCCTCCGCCTCCCTGCGCTCTAGGGACAGGGAGCCGTGTCCCCGAAGCTCCGGGGGCTCAGCACTGCTGCTGAGAGGACTCCGGAGGGATTTCGGCAGTGGTTGGGAGCACAGGGGTTTACCTGGCTGCTCCACGAGGGTTTCCGCAGCCGCTTTCTCAGCTCGTACCGTTCTCTGCGGCAAGGCTGTCCCAGGCGTCCTCGCTCCCCCTTCGCGTGGCGGCGCTTTTGCCGCCTGATCTGCCGTAAACCTGCCCGTCCTCGCAGCGCGCTGGCCTCACCCGCCTTTTTCCTCTTCCCTCAGAACCAGGTAATAGCGTTCGAATGGGACGAAATGCAGCGGTGGGACACGGACGAAGAGGGAATGGCATTTTGTTTTGAATACGCACGAGGAGAGAAGAAACCCCGATGGGTTAAAATCTTCACCCCCTACGTAAGTACCCCTGTTCTTTGCGGATTTGCGAAGGAGAAGCCCAGAGCCTGCTTCTTTTCCCTCTGGAAGGCCGGAGGAGCACTCGGTGCTCCAGCTTTTGGGGTGGGAGGAGACGCAGGGGCCGGTGGCCACCAGGAGGAGCCCGCAGCTCAGGGAGCTCTGGGCGGGCGACGGGTGCCAGAGCCCGGGCTGGAAGCCAGGGCGGCTCTCGGGGCTGCCTCTCCCCTCTGAGCGATGCCTGCTTTCTCTTTGCAGTTCAACTACATGCACGAGTGCTTCGAACGGGTTTTCTGCGAGCTCAAGTGGAGGAAGGAGGTAAGAACCTGTAACCGCAGGGAAACGCCTTCGCCTTTTCCTGGCGGCTTTCAGCGGCAAGAGTTTCTGCCTGGTCCCTAACAGCAGCTTGGACGGGGAGTAATCGGGCGCGGAGAGGAGTGATAGCAGGTCTCCAGGGAGCGCGGGGGCCAACGGGCTGGCTTCCGCAGGTCTGGGCTCTGTCGGTGGAGGGTGTTTCACGTTGCAGCTAGAGCGAGGAGCTCCCGGTGCTGGGAAAGCCTCGTGCAGGCGTGACTGACCGGGACGACCAGTTCCCAGGCTGCGCGGCTGCGGCCGGTCGCTGCCCGGTGTCTGCTGCTGAACGCAGATGGCAGAACGTCCGTCCTCCGGAGAGATTCTGCGGGTTGCTGAATTATTCAGAAAGGGTTGTGAGATCCTGCGGCGAAAAGCTGCCGAGAAGCTCGGGGAGGTTTGGGGATTATTATTTTATTTTTTTTGTCCTGAATCCCGGCCTGAGGTGTCTGCTCAGCCCTCTCCCGTCGAAGCTCCGCTCAGACCTGGCTCCGAGCCCCGGGTGGGGAGATGCACGCGCGCCTGCCCGCCCTGCCTCCGTCCCCGCTGCTGTGCTTCCCCTGTCCCCTCTTCCCACCTGAGGGAGACGTTTTGTCACCCCGCGTCCATCTGCTGCTCCTCCTTGGGGTTGCCCCACGTCTGTTGTTCCCCAGGGACTGCTCCCGTCAGCTTCGCTTGCGGGGAGGAGGCGGAGGGCAGCCAGAAAAGCCGCCTGCGCTCAGCTTGGTCGACCGGCCCCGGGGTGCGCTGTCCCGGGTTCACGCTGTGTGTGGCTCCCGAATTGCCATCCCGTGTGTCCGCTGAGCCAGAGAGGTCGCTCTCCCTCGCCGGGTCAGAGATAAGCAGCTGTTGGAGGTTGGATCCTCTTTTGTTGCCTTTGATCTGATCAGTGCTGTTGGTATCGGCCCTCTGGTTCCCGCTGATGGCTTGTTTCGGCCAGGCGATGGATTTGGGTACCTGAAACGGGGCTTAAACGCGGCGGGTCTGAAATGGTGATCCAGGAAAAAACTGCCCTGCAGCTGCCCGCTCCGAAATGGGAACGATGCCTCCCCCTTTGCTCACCTGGAAGTTTCCTCCTCTCTGCCGGCTATTGGCCCGCGGCGGGGGTGTTGGTGCGCGTCCTCGGTGTGGCTGGGGGCCAGGCGTGGCACCGTGCTGCGTGCGGGAGGCGTGTTGGAGAGCGCAGGGGCTGGACCGTGGCAGCCGTGCTCGCTGGAGGGCGTAACGGCGGGATGGAGGAGCATAAACCTGGAAGACTTCTCCAGGAAATAAGACAACGGGATTCTTGGCTTGCCTTAGCTTCAGGGGGGGAAGCTGACCCTGCCACGAGCAGCCGGAGACCGGCAGGCAGCGAGGAGACGTCCTGGTGCTGGGCTGTGCTCCAGCGTCTGCAGAGTCCCAGCTCAGCCCCTTTACCCGGTGGACGATTGCAGGAGCAGCGGTCAGGAGCCCCCCAGAGCCCAAACCCGCTCTGTCCCGGCCCTGAGCCTCGCGGCGGGGGGATGAGAGGCTCCATAGCGGTTACACGGTTCGGCTTCCTAAAGCGCCCAGCGTTGCCATGCGCAGAGCTGAGGAACGCGGCTCTGGGGTCTGCGTCCCAGCTGGAGGTGACGTCTCTGTCCCGTGTCAGAACAAATCTTTGTGGCTCTCGTTTTGTCCCACGCGTGGAAGCTGCCCGCATGGGCTGCCTGCCTTATTCTCCAAATCCCAGCTCCTCTGTAGCTCCCCGTGTCCGACGTGCCTGGAGCGCCCCGGATCCCGTCCCGATGCTCTCCCGGCCGCTCCAACACCAGCTGGTCAGTCTCCTCCCGTCCTCCCCCCAGCTCTGCGTTTTTATTTATACCCTTTTTATTTTTTTCCCCTTGTAAAGGTGGAGGAGGAAGCAACAGACAAGGATAACAGGAACTGCAGTAAAGACAATATGTGCAGCAAGGTAATTGGGCTGAAAACAAACAGCGTCTCTGCTCTCTGAGCCGGTCCGTGCTCTCTCTCCTGCCGCTCCGCTCCCGTTCCTGTTAGCGTAGGACAGTGCCCTTCCGCAGTGGCTTCTCCTTGGAGGGAACCCGCAAAGTAGCGTACCGCACTGCTGCTTTTCCTGGGACAGAGATGGCTTTGCGCTTAAAGGCCTTTTTCCTGATGGTAGAAACGCTTGGTCCTGCCTTGCCCGGCTCCTGGACTCTGCCAGTCTTTGGATGACCCGGAACGCGACGCCGCAGCTCCCTTCTCCCCGAGGAGAGGGAAAGGGCGCAGTTGTAAAGGGGACGAACCCGCCTTTTAGAGGACCAAAGATGATCCTGCAAGCCGTGGGCTAGTGGCGTGGGGTTTTCCTCCGCCGTTTTTCTGCAGTGGCGGAGCATAAGAGCTTTAGGGATTGAGAAATGTGGGTCGCAGCGTTGCTGTAAGAGCAGGGAGCTCCTAAACCCTCACCTCCTCAACCTTCTCCTGCTGCGCTCTGCTCGGCCGTTACGCATCCAGCCTGGACAGGATTTAAAGCGAAACACTTTAAATTGCTTCAATATGCACCGGGACGCGTCCGTGAATGTCGCCTGCCTGTCTCTAGGAGACCTTCTTGTAGGGTTTTACCCCTTCGCCGTAGCGTACGCACGGACGAGGCTTGCGGGGAGCCGTCTCACGGGGTAGTGCCGTGGCGTGGGGTGTGCCGGGAGCCGCAGCCCCCGCAGATGCCGCTCTGCCGGCTGGAGGCTCATCGCGTTCTCCGCGGGGATGCGGACGTGCCGCTCCGCCGCCGCGGACCCCCGCGCGCTTCGTTCGCCCTACTCCCGCTTCAAACCTTACTGCTTTGCTCCGCTCTGGCGTCGGAAATAGCCGCGGGGTTATTTAACTCATGAGAGGGAAAGCAAAGCGCGGTTGCGTGCAGCGAGGCTGAAAGCTGTTAACCCCAGCGGTGCCAGAGGCGGGTTGCGTTGGGCAGAAAGCGTTGGACATCAAAGAGGGGCAGGAGGCCCCGTCTGCGGG